GGAAAGAGATACATTCTTGTGATTGTCGATGACTTTTCCAGATTCACGTGGAACATGTTCTTAAGATCAAAAGACGAAATAGCTGGAGTATTGATGACCTTTTGCAAAAGGAATTGAGTTGAAACTAAACAGCAAAATTGCAAGCATCAGGTCAGATCATGGTACCGAGTTTGAAAATGCCCAAATTGAAGGCTTCTGCGCAGACCATGGCATCCACCACAACATCTCTGCCCCAAGAACTCCTTAGCAAAATGGGGTCGTTGAAAGGAAGAACAGGACCCTGGTGGACATTTCCAAAACTATGCTCATAGATTCAGGACTTGCAATGAGCTTTTAGGCTAAAGCAGTGAATATAGCTTGTTATGTCAGTAACAAATGCTTAATCAGGCTAGTTCTTAAGAAAACTCCCTATGAACTATTGAATGGAAGAAAGCCATCTCTTAGACATCTAAAAGTCTTTGGATGCAAGTGTTTTGTGCTGAACAATGGGAAGGATGATCTTGGAAAACTTGATCGAAGAAGTGATGAGGGAACTTTTGTGGGTTACTCCTCATCAAGCAACGCTTACAGGGTATACAACAAAAGGACCAAGTGGGTTTTCAGAACCAAGCTGGACGAGCATGGAACAATCACGAGAAATAAGTCAAGACTGGTAGTGCAGGGCTATAGTCAAGAGGAAGGAAACGATTATGATGAGACATTTGCACCTGTTGCAAGGATGGAAGCCATCAGAATACTAATATCCTTTGCCACATACATGGGATTCAAAATCTTCCAGATAGACATCAACAGTGCTTTATTGAATGGTTATTTGAAGGAGGAAGTCTATGTTAAGCAGCCTCCAGGGTTTGAAGATGTTGATCTGCCTAATCATATGCTAAAGTTAGACAAAGCACTGTATGGCTTGAAGTAGGCACCCAGGGCCTGGTACGAGCGATTGTCAAAATTTCTTCTTGAAAATGGGTTCAAAAGAGGAAAAATTGACAACACTTTATTCTTAAAATCAAGAGGAAATGAGCTTCTGGTAGTGCAGGTCTATGTAGACGACATCATCTTTGGGGCGACCACAGATCCCTTATGTAAAGAATTTGCAGCCTTGATGAGCAGTGAATTTGAAATGAGCATGATGGGGGGAACTAACCTTTTTCATAGGGTTGCAAATCAAACAGTCTCCCCAGGGTACGTCAATCTGTCAGGAGAAGTACATCAAGGAATTTCTCAAGAAGTTCAGTATGATGGAGGCCAAAATTATTGATACCCAAATGAGCACCAATGCAAAACTTGACAAAGATGAAGCTGGAACTGATGTGAATCAGACTATGTATAGAGGAATAATTAGATCTCTTCTCTACCTCACTGCAAGTCGACCTGACATAGTCCTCAGCGTGGGAATGTGTGTCAGGTTTCAAGCTGCTCCAAAAGAGTCACACCTGAAGGTAGCCAAACGAATACTGAGATACTTGAAGGGAACACAGAACCTAGTCCTTTTCTATCCTGCTGACAACTCTTTGATCTAATTGGATATGTTGATACTGATTATGCATGGTTTTTTATTGATCGAAAAAGCACTTCAGGGATGGCTCATTTCTTAGGGTCATCACTAATCTCATGGGGAACTAAGGCAGAATTCAGTGGCTCTATCAACTACTGAGGCTGAGTATGTGGTTGCTACATCATGTTGTGCTCAACTCTTGTGGATCAAACAGCAGCTCGAAGATTTTGGTGTTGTCACAAATACTATTCCTCTCATATGCGACAATACAAGCACAATGAACATGGCCAAGAATCTTGTCTAGCATAAGAGGACCAAACATATAGATGTGAGGCATCACTTTCTCAGAGACAATGTTGATAAGAAGAATATGGTGATGAGATACTGTAAAATAGAGGACCAAGTGGTTGATATCTTCACCAAGGCATTGGGCAAGGAAAGCTTCATCAAGAACAAATTGAGTTTAGGGATGCACAAGATCACCTGATTTCACAACAATGTTGCATGAAGCCTTTCAATTAACTACGCTGGGGAGGGCAAGTATCTATACTTGTTGTATTGCTTAATATTTGAGAATTCACATTTAGTGCCTTACTGCAGGTACACACTCATGACATGTTGGCTAAAGGGAAGATCTAACCATAACATGCAGGGCTATCTATAGAGAGGGACCTGGTCCCCTAGAAGGTTAGTATCACTTTTACTACACAGCTTTCTGTCAACGGCCACTGCTACGTGTCTTCTTCCGATTCCTTGTGTCAGTTGCAGAAGTATTTTCAATTTAAAAGCCAAGATTCACTACTATTCAAGGACCCGATACCTTGTTAAATACACCCTTTTGAGAGAAGTCATACATCACAAATTCTTTCTACTCTCTTTCAAATTCTCTCACTATTCGTCAACTGTCTTCTTGCTGTCTTATGAGAAAATGTCAAACTCTTCTTCTCCCTTAAAATCTCCTCTCTCCCAAGAAATTGAAAACCCTAGTTCATTCAATTCCTCCTCCTGAAGGATCTCCGTCCACACCAGTTTGTGGGTTGGTGAGACTGATGAATCTATCACACCCCACACTGAACTGTTAGTGTCTCATGTACTCAATCCTGGGGAAATCTTGCCTTGTTCTCCAACTCTGGTTCTATCAGGAAAAAATTCTCAGAATTCTAAGGCTTAGTCGGTTGTGAAGCCTATCCCTGAGATACCAACTGAAGATCTAGAATTCGTATCTCAACCAGGGCCTGTGTCGTCTACCATGTCTGAAAGGTTGTTTGAAGGTGATTTGCCTAAAGGTAAAGGTATGGAATCCAACTTACTAGCAGCGATAGAGGAATTGGTGGTTGTACAAAGTCTGGCTTCTCTCAAAAGGGATATTCAGCCAACACTCTTAGAACAAGAGTGTTGATCACCGAAACAGGTCCCTCATGGTGTGCAACCAGTGTATGACAAAACCCTTGAAACCATGGGGGTTACCAGTGAAGAAGAGGATGAAGAAGAAACTCCTCTAGTTTGGTCTAGAAAACGGGTTCAAGGTGCAAATGTTTCAACTGTGGATATCCGAGATTTTGGAGTAACTGGAGTTGTACTTGAGACTAGACTTGAGAATGAGCCTACTCAGTTAGAAAGGAAAACAAAAAGGAAAGGGAAGGGTAAAATGGTGGAATCTCCCACTTAAGGAGACAAAAAGGAGATACACAATAAGATAGGTGGTACAAAAATTGCTTGGAGCTACTCTGGTGGAAAATGAGGTACATATAGAGAGAAATCGAAGACAAATAAGGATTCTTCGTATGCCTACTGAGGAACCCACCTTAGTGCCTCAAAATATAGGCTCAAGTGAAACAGAGTCTGAGGATATTGTTCGAGCATTGGTGAAATAGAAGAAGGAGGCAGAAAAGTAACGAGTCAAAGCCAAAGGAGTTCCTAAGTTGGTAAAGAAATCACCTATAAAAGGAGATAGGGTGACTAAAAAGGCCCCATTGATTAATGTATCAAGGCATTTCATCCAATACTAAATGCCAACGATCGTTCGTCAGTATAATAATCCAACTACGTGAGTTGGGGTCGATCCCACAGGGAGTAGCACTTTCTTCAAATTCAATAATCAAAGTACAATGACAACCTCTTCAATCAAACAATTCTTGCCCAACTAATGTTCAACTCTCAAATTTCAGGTTTTACCTATCAATCCCAAATTTACACTTGAACACAAATAATCAAATAGTAAAGTAAAACTTGGGGAATTGATCAGCCAATTATTGAATCTTAACGAAGTAGATAAATGTTACTGCTCATAATGGGATAATTTGTTTTGGGTAGGACGAACAATATATAAAGTAACTTTCTCTCGAACAATTACCTTTTCTATGTTGAATTCTCTCGAACTTCAACACCAATCGAAAGAAGCCCAGCTCTATACCCCCATCAAATTCACTCTTTCGAGCTGAATACAAAGGATGGATCACTTGTTTCACTCTCTCGAGCTGAAACCAAGGAAACCCACTACTAAGGATGTTAAGATTGTCACATTGGTCCCACACCTCTCTCTCAAGCAAGTGCACAACACTTAAATTGACACATGAAGTTGCGCAATTCAACCTCGAAACACAGCAAAAACTTAGACCCACTTCAAATTAACACCATTCTTTGCAAATAACAAACACCCACTAGGTAAATTCAACAATTGGCTTCATGATCAAAACCCCAAGTCAAGGGTTTAGCCACTCATCTCAAAAATGAAAGAATCAAAATCAATTATCACTCCCATAGTTGGGTACAAAATGAGAATTAAAGATGAAAATCAATTGATAATCTTCTCTCTTACAAAACCTCTCTCAAAATCTTGCTGAGAATCACTCACTAAACCCTTTGGTAGTGTTTTCTCTCTAAGTAATTCCTTCATCTTTTTCTAAATGAATTTCTCTCTCTAGACAAAACTAATTTAAACAAGGCTGAAGTGTCACTGCATATGACTACTCGGTGAAGTAAGTCGGGTATCGCTGACAGATTAGCAAATCGCTGATTGTTCTTCATCTCGCCTTCATTTTTTGCTTTTTCTAGGTCTGGCTACTGTAACATTAGGCGATCCAGGTCAGGATCACCGACTGACTCCACGATTCGCCGTTAATCCTTCCATCTCGCCCATCAGCACTTGCTTGAATCTTCTTTAGTACTTTTGGCGACCTAATTGTCCTTCGCTGACTAGATCGGCGATACGCTGAGTAGTTGCTGCTCATCGAACTCGCCCCTATTTTAGCTCCAGCATTCTGTAACTTTAGGCAGTATCTTGGCGAGTTGGTGATTCGTCGAATAACATTTTCGCAATTCGCCGAATGACATCATTGACCATCTGTTCTTTATTTCTTCATCCCTTTAGATTGCTTTGTTCATTTATGCCCAATAGTGTCCATGCTTTTTCTCTAACTCCAAATACCAAAAACTCAAGGATTTTCATCAGTTATTGAGACAAAATATGCATTTGAGGACACTAAATCTATCAAAATAAAGCCTTAAAAGAGTCCAAATTGTGGACTCATCACCCCTCAAAACCAAAATTTGCTAAGGGACCAGGTCCAACTGCCAAGAAGCAAGTTGAAGGTAGGGTGTTGACAACAGAAGAGCGTGTTGCAGAACTTGAACATCAAAATGTGCTAAACGGGAGGGTGTTTGATCCTGACATTCTCACAAAATATGGTATGTCTACCCTTTATGACTCTATCTCCCTGCAAAGTTGCGAACACCTGTTTGAAGGTCCAACACCTTATTTGCATGAACCGAAAGTACGGGAGTTCTATTATAAAATGGAGCTCCTTGATGATGTAGGCATTCAGACAACCATAAGTGAGATAAAAATCTTACTAATTGAATAAAACTTGGGGATCATCTTAGGAGTTCCCTCTATAGGGATCAGGTCCATTGAAGGTTGCAAACCTTCTGGTGATTTTTTTTCAAAGGGCTACCAAGCGTGGGGACATAAAACGTGCAGTTCTGCCTAAAAGGTTCCTCAAAAGGGAGTAACAGTTACTGTTTGAGTTCACTAACAAGGTCTTGGTGCCAAGAAGTGAAAAGAGGATTGTAGCCTCTACTGCAGATTTGTTCCTCATGGAACAGTTGTATGAACTCGAGGCTATCAACCTTCCTGGAATTATGCTTGAACACATACATAGGGTGATGACTTGGAAAAATGCCAAGCACGGCATTCCTTATGGGTACCTACTAAACCATATGTTCGAACACTTTGGAGTACCTCTTGTCAGGGGAGTGGTGAAGCAAATGTTTTCTCCTACAACCTTTTGGAAAGTGAATGTACTGAGGGAAAGGTCAAAGGTAAGTCACAAGTGTCTCATCTTCTTGAGCAGTAGGAATATCTCAAGCGTGAGTTAAATGATCTTACAGTAACCTTGAGTGCCAAGGAGGTAGAGATTGCACGACTTAAGGCTCAGATGCAACAGACTATTTCTCGAGGACCTGGTACCAGTGCTGAAAGTAAGGAGGAAGTAGAAAAGTTGAGAGCTGAGAATGCACAACTGCTGAAGACAAATGCCTCACTCAGTGAGGAAGTCCAGGCTCTTAACAAGCAACTAATTCAGGCACACGTCGATGCTAATACTCGCATGAACCTGATGTTGCGGTCCTTACCTCCCCATTCCCCTCCGTCCTAAAAAGGAGTTTGTCTGTCTAGACTACTATGTCTTTATGTGTCTAAGTTGTTTCCCCTGTGTTTATCCTATGGCAAAGTGTACTATTTTGGCTGGACTCTGTGGTCAACATAAGTGATCTAATGGACATATCTCTTTTTGCCGTGTTTTGGTGTGCTTTTATCTTCCCTATTTTTGCTTACTTGCGCATGTACTGTGTGGCCCATGGCCCTGAATTCCTAATGTTTTTGCATGCAGCTCATAGATGTTTACTGTCATTCCTTTTCAATGATGTCAAAAGGGGGAATTGATTAGAGCTCGTATATGTTTTGTGATTTATGCATAGTGACAGGGGGAACTGATAGAGTATTGACTGGGGAACTGACGGTTTGAATAAATGTTAACTCATGTGAGGTAGTTTGTTTGTCATCATCAAAAAGGGGGGAAATGGTAAGTCTTACTGTTTCCAAATGTTTTGATGATCCTCACAAATGCAAGGACCCAATCCTCTGCAGAGTGTTCTCGTCCAGGGTGATGTGACATACAACTGGAATGTTGGCTTGTCAGAGGTTGGTGAGGTCATCAGCGTACTAAACCAATCAGAACGGATGAGGTTGTTTGTCCAACGGTATGGTTGATATGTTCAATATGACAAACAATATATCACTCATTCATTCAAAGAGAAAAAATTCAAGCTTCAACAAAACAACAATGGACCTCATAGACTGAAGACTTGCTTCCTGAACCTGTTGTTATTTTGATTGCTTGTATTTGTGCTTAACTTGTAGGATTCGTTTCACTTTGTTAAGAAACGTTTCAAAACCTTGTGTGAATCATTGTAAGAACATAGTTGAGGGCAACTTTGTGTCTTACGGAAAAATCTATATTAATTAGTGAGGATTAGTATAGTGGGCAATGCAGGCATTGCTTAGGCTTGTTAAGTAATAGGTTGTATTACTTAGTGTTACTGTGTTTCGCTTTTGCTTGAGAAGATTAGTGAAAACAGTTTGAAAATCCTGTGAGACATGTCGTGGTTTTACTCCCTTGAGCAAGGAGGTTTCCACGTAAAGTTTTGTGTGTTATCTTTATTTTCTGTATTTACCTTTATTCATCTTAACTGTCTAAAGGACCTGATCCTATCGTAGTTAGTGGATGCATACATTTCAACAGGGGGCCGAGGTTATCGGATCTTTGGTGGCTGATTCTTGCATCAAATTCCATTGGAACAGGAGATGTTGATGACTTGAGTTTTTTCAATTCTTTGAGTAGATGTAGAAATCTGAAAGTTCTGGATTTGAGTGATTGCAAATTTGGAGGTGTACTACCTGATTCTATTGCAAATTTATCGACGATTTTTCTATCACTAAGATTGGGAGGTAATCAACTATTTGGTAGTATTCATTCAGGAATAGGTAATCTTGTTAACTTGACTGAATTGCAATTGCAAAAGAATGATTTTTCTAGTAGCATTCCTGAAGTCGTTGGCAATCTTCGTAGGCTTCAGTTAGTGGACTTGTCTGAAAACAATTTTTCAGGTAGTATATCATCGTATATGTCTAACATGACTCTATTATATTCACTACATTTGGAAAAGAATGAGTTAACTGGTAATATTCCCCTTAGTTTTGGCAATTTCCGATACTTGCAAGATTATATTTTTCTCGGAATCATCTAAGTGGTAGCATACCAGATGGAGTTATGAGTTTGTCTACCTTAACAAATTCTCTTAATCTTGCTGACAATCAATTGTCCGATTTGCTATCAGTTGAAATTGGAGCTCTCAATAATCTTGGAAGATTGAATATTTCTAATAACATGTTGTCTGGGAAAATTCCTAGTAACATAGGGAGGTGTATAGCATTGGAAAGCCTTGTTTTAGCTGGCAACTTCTTTGAAGGTATAATTCCTTCATCCCTTAGTTCTTTGAAAAGTCTCGAAGAATTGGATCTTTCTCGCAACAATTTATCTGGTCAGATTCCAACATCTCTTCAGCTCATTTCCTTGAAAAAAGTGAACTTGTCTTTCAACCATTTTGAGATGTTAAAGACATGAAGGTGTTGCCAACTGAAGGTGTTTTCAGAAATGCAACTGCAATATCCATATCGGGGAATAAGAAACTTTGTGGGGGTATACCGGAACTGGAGTTGCCAACATGTCCAAACGTTGACCCTGAGGGAAGAGATAAGTCCAAAAGCATTAAGCTAATGATCCCTCTTCTTTCTGGACTTGTTGCGCTGGTTTTCATCATGTCTTTAGTCATAATCATTTGGTTAAAAAAGGCAAGGGGAGAGCCTTCTTTAACATCTTCACCGGTCACTTATGAGAGCCTATATAGAGCGACAAATGGATTCTCTTCTGCCAATTTGATTGGAAATGGTAGCTTTAGTTATGTTTACAAAGGGGTAATCTAGGTGAAAGTATGGTTACAGTGAAGGTGATAAACATTGATCATCAAGGGGCTGCTTCTAAGAGCTTCATGGCTGAGTTTGAGGCCCTGAGAAACATTAGGCATCAAAATCTTGTTAAGGTCTATACTGCCTGTTCGACTAGTGATTTTGAGGGTAATCCGTTCATAGCTTTAGTTTACGAATACATGCCTAATGGGAGCTTAGAAAGTTGATTGCATCCTATTCCAGGAGCTGATGCCTCAACTAATGAGGTGAGGATTATTGGTCTAGTTGAAAGACTAAGGATTTCTATTGATATGGCTTGTGCACTAGAATATCTTCATCACCTTCGCCATAATCCGTTTGTGTACTGTGATCTGAAACTGGACAACATTCTTCTTGACAACGACATGACTGCCTATGTAGCTTATTTTGGATTAACAATGTTTTTCTCAGAATCCATGAGCAAATATAGTTCAATTGGATATGCTGCACCAGGTAACATAGTTGATAGTCCCGTCCCTTATCTTTGAATTTAGACTCAAAGGCATCCTTGTTCGGAGCACTAACAGTCCTTAAACTTGTTTTTTTTCTTGAGATTGAGAGTTTCATCACATTAGATTTCACATGCAATGATGCTTGGACTAGTTGTACAGAACAAGGAGCACGTACCCTTTTCACACCTTCTCTCTCATGGAGTTATTGTTTCTAAACATTTCATACACTAAATTGTCGACAAAACCAACGTTAAAAATAGACAAAAGTTTGGGGGAAGACCAAAAGTGTACCAATATTGCAAACATGGGGACTATAAATTCTCCATGTGAAAAAACAAGGATGACTTTGAGTCTTAGCCCAAAGATAAGGGACTATTTTGGGTCTTTTCACGTGTCTTCTTGAGAGAGTTTTCATTTTACAAGTTATAAGTTGATTACATGTTTTCTTTCCTCTTTGGGCAGAGTACAACATGGGAAGTAACGCTTCCGCATTTGGTGATGTTTACAACTATGGGATCCTTTTGCTCGAGATGTTTACTGGAAAGAGACCTACTGACAGCATGTTCAAAAATGGACGGACTCTTCACAGTTTTTCTAAGACGGCTTTACTTGATGAAATAGTAGATCCCATGCTTCTACCTAGCAACAGTAGAGAAAGACAAGAGGCCGAGGAAGAATGAGTACTTATCGATCAAGATGATACTAGTATAAAACAAGCGCAAGCGTGCTTGGTCTCGATAATACAGATTGGAGTTGCATGTTCAGCTGAATCCCCGAGAGAAAGGATGGATATCGGGGATGTTGTCAAGGAACTTCAACTAATTAGAGACATTCTCCTTGCTTCTCATGCAATTCCCAGCTCAATCAGCGGGTAAATTCGTTCTACTAGCTTTGTTTTCAACTGTGATTTATAAACGTGAGAGTTCATTGCTATATAAAGAAAATGTTGAGATGCTTAAAAACAACATTTAGAGTTACATCTGCATAAAACGGACTATAAAATCTGCTAGCAAAAGTTAAATAGCTTACACACAGCTCCTCTGCTACATATTGAGAAACTAGTTTCTAGACACATGTGTTGCGCGTGTGTCCATGTAAATTCTTGTAGATCACATTACAACAATAAAAGTTCTATGAAGACATGCACGTGTGTCCTATGTAAATATTCTTCTTCTTGTTGATCGTTGTCTTTCTTTCCTCGGTTTCAGGAGCTTGAGGTTCGAAGGGTCTTCCAGTCGTTCTGTTACTAGTAACTGGCAAAATTTCACATCATTTCGTCTACCTTGATATTTTGGGGGAAGAACTCGAGATGTCGATGCATACTTGTATATGATCAATTTCTTTTGCAGATTGAAGATGTTAATCATCAGTTCAATCATTTGCTCATTTGGCCTAAAGCTGGTTAGTTTAGTTGAGCTTAAGCAAATATAATTGGAATTGTTTATGTATGATGTTATGACTTGGAAAGGGTCATCAATTATTCGACTTTAGCCAAATACATACACAACCCCTTTAGCTCGCCTCAAAGTTTTATTTTGGCACTTCAACTTAGTTTTTTGTTCTATTTTAACCCTCCAACTCCATTTTCCATGTAATATTTAAACAGAAAAAGTTTTACCTAATAGAAGTGTTCAACGCATGTTACACAAACATTTAAAGGGTAAAAAAGAAATTAACTAACGCTACATGTTTTGTTTAAACTTTAGCCGTGAATGTATTATTTTTATTATTAATTTTTTTTTTTTTGCAAATTATGAGTTTAAAAAAACATGTATATGCAGAAATGGATGCACGTGAATATTTTTATAAAATAAGTAGTTAATAGTGATACATGTATGCATAAGACACGTGGATATATTTTAGGAGTTATATTTTATATTTTTAAAAAAGTGAAAACACATTTTTGTTATTTCTCAAATTTTTACAAATTCTAGTATAAGTTGAATTCCGAAATTTTACGGTCAAATATGTTTTTCGTAGTTCAACTTTCAAAAAACAGCGAAAAAAATCATTATCAAACGCGTTCTAAATTAAACGCATGAGGAACGCACAAGGTGTTGGGACTATTAGGTACCATTCCAAATGTCCAAAAACTTGTTTCTCTATTATTAACAACCTAATCATGAGTGTAAATTTTTTCTGAAATGCACACAAAGTTATTGACCTGGAAATCAAATTAATTCATTCAAAAATTTATTAGCTTTAGCCATAAGTAGCCATATGGCAAAAGACTTTCATATTTATTTTATGTAAGCTCTGGAAATATACCTAGGGCTCAAACTTCTTCATATTTGAAGGTTATGAGTATGACATTAATGCACACCAACTGCAATTTCCTTCTTGATTAATGCAGTCTCTCACGATAATAATATTGATTATGATGTGAAGCGTTTCTCAATTAAGTTCAAACTTGTGGTGAACTTGAATCAACCAATCAATCAACATTGCTCTCATCTTTTCGTGGATCTCAGGTTGTGAATCCATATAATGATGAGCTCTTCAAATCAAAATTTTTACATTCGATATGAATGGGTTGAACAATCACTCCATTAACAACTATTAACTGAATCTCACCTTAAAAATATTTACTACATTTGCTAGTTTAAAGATGATTATGTCATTATATATTACTCTAAAGTCCTAAATGTAAGGTAAAGTTGTTTGTTTGACATTGATTCTCCTAATATCTCTTTCTATCAACATTTTAAAGAATATTCATGTTAAATAGATGGATTGATATATAGATTTTAGCTAATAGGTCGCTAGTTAGTGCCGAATGATTGATTTTACTGATGATTGTACAAAAAGAACATATTTTTACATGATACTTCATCAAAAAAATTATGAGGTAGGAAAAAATGGGAAATGAATTACAAGGTGGAAAATTGAATTCTCACCAAAAAGATAAAAATTCATGTAATCAACCAACTGAGCTACTAAGATTGAACTAGCTAAAAAAAAAAAAAAAGAAGTTAAAACTAGATCAAACTTTACTTCTAAAATTAGATTAAGCTTTACATTGTGTGTGGTATGCCTATTGTATCACCTCGCAACTCTATTCTTAGAATTCAAATCTTTCGTTGTAAGTATATAATCTTGAATCGGTTGATGTCCTACTTATGCTTATGTGTTATCGTTCATTCCTATGTGTGGGAAGTGTAGTTGGAAGTGGTTTGGGGTCATAAGAGACCTTTAGTATTTAGTTGAGTTCAAAATCTTCCTACCAGCTAATTTTTTCGCATTAGTTCATGGGTCAACTTTAACAATCATATCTCTCCGTATATAATGAATTAGGTAGCCTTTGACCTATCAAATTAAAGGTCTATGAGTCTTCTTTCCAATTCCACCAAGTTTGCCTCATCTAGAGTTCTGAGTAAAAAGTTATGACCGTTTTACTAGAGACTACCACAACAGAGTTTTCAAATTAAGTAACTACGGACCTGATCCATGGGTCATAAATCAAAGTAAGATCCGTACTATTCACTCGTGAAAAAAGTTATGAAAGTCATCTTTTGGGTCCAATTCTTACGGACCCAGTTACAGGTCGTTGAAGCATCTACCGACCGTAATTTAGGCCCGTAGCATGAAGTTTTGAATCATATTAGTTGATCATTTACCTTTTTACACCTATTTAAAATATATAAATAAGAAATATAATTTTACTGATTAACTCCTTAAAAAACTTTTTGGGAATTTACAAACAAGAACACTTTTAAAAAGAATGTATCTCAAGGGTAATATAGAAAAACTTTAATAACGTTTTCTTGATATAGTAAGATAAATAACTAATATGAGTCAACTATTTTTTATTAAGATAATTAATAATTAAAATAAAGGGAGAGAGTATTATTTTTTAAATATTTTTATTCCACTTGGACCTAATTTTATTGATTGGTACACAACAGAAATTTTGAATGTGAGCCACATATTTTATAACGTTCAATTTCCATGAAGCAGCTAATCGTACAACTATTTACCGTTATGTACAACCACTCACAGCATCACTTTCAGTATATATCCCTTTCAAGAACAATGGGGGTTTTCAATCCAACTGACTATGCTTCTCTTTCTATGGGGGTTTCAATCTCCTCCTCCTCCTCCTCCTCTCATCTTCTTATTCCCTATCTTTCAATCTACCCACGAACCCCAACACAACTGTATACGGAATCCTCACTAAATTCAACCTTCCTCAAGGGTTCTGTAAAATCTTACTCCCTTTCCGATGATGGAACATTTGAAGTTTTACTGGAGAAGCCTTGAATATTTGGTTTATTACGCTGAGAAGGTAACTGAGTCTTGGGTCGATTACTGATTTGAAGTTAAAGAGATTTTTTGTGTGGTTAAATGTGAATGAGATCCTTGAAGTTAAGCTTCATTAACAAACAGTTTGGAATACTTCATTCTTGCCGGGGCAATGGTTTGGCGATGTGTGGAGGACCATCTCTGAGACAGGTGATTTTCAAGTTCCATTCTGTTTGATTCATTGCTTTTCTAAAATTGTATTTAGATATTCTTGATCAAGTTGTCTCGTATATTTCAACATGGTTCTTCATGGAATAAATGGAACTGAAAAATTGTTGTGTCACATACCAACACTTGCAATAGTCTGGCAAGATTGTGTATATGGTTCTATATTGTAGACTAAACACTGGCACCTAAATTGCACAAAGAAGCAGAAGATTCCTAGAAGCAGAAATTAAGATCTCTAAAGGACAATAAGGAAAGGAAAAATTGAATTTGAGAGGTTGGAAGAAAGGTAACATTTACATATGTTAGTTTAATGGGGTCCTCTATAGAGGTGCCCTAAAGAAGAAGGGGAAAGGAGAGGAGAATATTACATAGGTGGGATTATAATAATAACGTTTACATATGTTAGTTTCATTGTCAAACCATGTCGCTGATTAACTTTCAAGGTTTGGTGGTAATTAGTGCTGTAGTGTCTTGTTAATTTCCTTGTTCAGCTGCATTAATTTGTTCCCCGTGAATGATCTTGTATTTCCAGTTCTTGCAAGTCTTTGTTCTATTGTAGAGTTGGTTCTATATTGTTCCCATAGCAAGATCATAAGAAATTGTTTTCTCCAGATTCTAATTTTTACTCATGGACTCTTGGTTTACTCATTGTTTCTTGTCTTGTCTCTCTGACTGGCTTTGACAGAGCTCCAATTCTACTGCTCAAACTTCTTCACAACAAAAGATAAATAAGGAATTGGAGAATTTGTTATCTGGATGCCGCCTCCTTTTCTAGGTTTGACTCATCGTTTCTGTTTTACTTTCTTAATTAAGAACTTACCTCAACAAAATGCCAATTTTCTGAGAAATTTATTGAGAAGAAAGGACAAGTAGTGGCACAGGCTGTTTCCCTTAGCTAATGTTAACTAAAGATAAAAATGATGGTAGTCTTCTGAAAGAATTAATCTCTATCTGGTTGGATGAAGCAATTACTCAACACCATATTATCAAAGTTGGCAAACTTCATTCAACCCCAACACAACTGTTTACGAAATCCTCACAAAATTCAGCCTTCCTCAAGGGCTTTTACCATGCTCTGTAAAATCTTACTCTCTTTCTGATGATGGAACCTTTGAAGTTTTACTGTAGAAGCCTTGTTATGTGGAGTTTGAATATTTGGTTTATTACCCTGACAAGGTTACTGGATCGATTACTGATTTAGAAGGAATTGAAGTTGAGATATTTTTGTTGTGGTAAAGTGTGAATGAGATCCGTGTGGATTTGCCATCGCCTGGGAGTATTTACTTTCAAGTTGGGTTTATTAACAAAAAGCTTGATATCAAACAGTTTGAAACTCCTCGTTCTTGCCAGGACAATGCTTTGGCCTTGTGTGGAGGACCATCTCTGAGACAGGTGATTTTCAAGTTTGATTCATTGTTTTTCTAAAATTGTATTAAGATATACTTGATTAAGTTGTATAAGAGGCATGAACAATCTTTATGAGTTTTTACCATTTATATTCTCTGGTCTCGCATATATCAACATGGTTTTTCTCTTAATATTGATATTGTTGTGTAAAATATGAGTGAGCCTGTATGGAATAAATACTTGTGTAAGGGAATTGAAAACTTGTTGTTTCTCATACCAACACTTGCAATAGTCTGGCAAGATTGTCTATATGTTCTAAACTAAAATACTGGTACCTAAAATGCAC